TGTATGAATTAGATGAAACATTGCAGATGGAATATTTGGATTCTCTATCTTTATTTTCACCTATTGAATCTATTAATTATTGAAAGAACAATTGTTTACATTAGTTTAGAATATTTTAAGAATAGTTTGAGATGAAATTACAATATATACATATCTTAAGTAATGTTAAATGTTTCTGATATTTATGTGCTTATTCCCTTTAGGCATAATCATTTCTCTTCCATGTATATTTTATAAAATATTAATATTGTGATAACCAGTTCAATATTGCTTTGGGAGGTGATTTAGTTTGGTGATTCATTTTTCTTGTTTTAATTTAGTTATCATGCTTTACATGTGTTTTTGTAGCCAGATATAAAAGAATTATATAAAATTCCATCCAGGAATTTTTAAGCAGGTATATGTATTTTAATATGACAACTAATATATTTTATCTTATTTTCTGCTTTCACTTTACCGGATTATTTCTTTTCTTTTTTTTTTTTTTTTTTTTTTTTGCAGTTTTTGGCCGGGGCAGGGTTTGAACCTGCCATCTCCGGCATGTGGGGCCAGCACCCTACTCCTTTGAGCCACAGGCGCCGCCATATTTCTTTTTTTTTTTTTACATCTGTATTATGATCATGTACAGTTTCATGTTTATATAATTAGTCCACTCCACACTTTTAATAATTCTTTAACTTCACTCTAGGTGTCCCCAACTTTATCCTTCTTTACTCTCATGACAATACCGAGTCATATCTCAAAACTTCACCTCCTAATTCTTAATCCCTAAATCCCACTCTCTGATGACAGTCTTCAGTACTGGTTTGTGAAATGTCTGCCCTTTTTCTCATCGATTATTCCCTTCTCCCAACTCCTGTCTTCTATTCTCTACATCTCAGTCTCTCTCTATCCATATTTCTTGACTTATCCCCGCAGAGCCCTGCAAGCTCTATCCCTTCTTTCAGTCTCAACTTTACTGCCAACTTTTACACCTTGTGTGTCTTTCTCCACACCTGATCTGCAAAATCTCATCCCCTATGGAGTCCCAGCATGATTCTTCTGTGTTTTAGACGCAGGCTGGAAATCACTCAAGTGAATACTACTTTAGTGCCACTCGAACTTGGACTCCTCACCCCCAGCTGTAACAACATGGTTTTTGACACATTTTTATTAAGTACTCTGTTAGTACTTACTCCGCTCTCTCTATTTCCCTCATTAGCTATTCATCTTTTCATTCTTTTCTAAAAAACACTGTCCAACTCCCATCCACCTTTGACCCTCGTTTTCGATACTGCTGCTTCCTTTTCACTCAGACATGTAAATGTCAAAAAGTAATTTCCTTAAGCTGTATCTACGAAAGTCTCACTGTAAACACCAAATGCAGCTGGGAAACTGTGAGCCTTCCTACAGACTTTCTGTCCTACCTTGTTTGACATAGACTAGGAGTAATTTCAGTTACCATAATAAGCCAAAGAAAGTATAAAGTTATTAAATCTTTGATATTTGGTTTTTATTTTTTATTAACAATTTTTTATTAAGTCATAACTGTGTACATTAATGCATTTATGGGGTACAATGTGCTGATTTATATATAATTTGGACGAGATAAGGCGCGTTCAGGGTGGTATGGCTGTAGATATGATTTATATATAATTTGGAATGCTTACATCAAACTGGTTAACATAGCCTTCACCTCACTTAATTATAGTGTTCAGATGTTTATACTCTACTCTTAATAGATTTGACATGTACCCTTGTAATACGCACCATAGGTGACGTCCTACCGATTACCCTCCCTGCTCTCTGCTCCCAGCCAGCCCCCTCAGCTCACACTCTTCTTCCCTCCTTCATCCTGGGCTATAGTTGTGTTTTATCATTTGTATGAAAGTGTGGGTGATTAGATATTGGTTTCATACTAGTACTGAGTACACTGGATACTTTTTCTTCCATTCTTGAGATACTCTACTAAGAAGAATATGTTCCAGCTCCATCCATGTAAACATAAAAGCAGCAAAGTCTCCATCATTTTTTAAGGCTGCACAATATTCCAAAGTATACATATACTACAGTTTATCAATTCATTCATGGGTAACTGGGCACTTGGGCTTCTTCTATGACTTGGCAATTATGAATTGGGCTGCAATAAACATTCTAGCATAAATATATTTGTTGTAAAATGATATTTGGTCAGTTTATTATATATCAAACAAGAAATAGTATAATTAATCAAATATGCACCTATGCTATCCACATAGTTTTGCTATCTTAACAGTAGCCCCTGTATGCAAAGAAGCCTGGTGAGTGGTGAGGAAATTGTGAAAGGAGTTTCCCCCAGCCTGTTGAGAACAATATTTTTCCTTGCAAGAAGTGGTACAAAGCCTGGAGGAAGCAGCAGTCAGTTGGTGCATGGTCTAGTGAGTGTGGTTGATGACAGAGGGCTTCCAAGTCAGGCTTCTACAGTTTGAGCAGCATTGTTTGTATGACAGTGTTGTCTTCCAAGAAGATTGGCCCGTCTCTATTATCAACCTCAGCATCTCAGTTGCAAGCATCCTCATCATTTTGTCCCACTGGTTGCAGCAGACATGTGCTGTAATTGACTGACCAGGATACATGAAGCTATTGTGGATAATACCAGCACTGGACTACCATACAGACACCATTAGCTTTGAGGGGGATGAATATTCAGGTTTGAATTGTATTTCCCTGTTTCATCTCTATCTAATCATTGTGCCAAGTGCTTGCAATTGTAAAAAAGAATCTATTCTCATCACACTTAATGATTCGGTGTAGAAATGGTTTGCATTTATGTGGTGACAGTAAAGGAGGGCAAGCCTCTTGAAAATTTCCCTTCCAACACTTATATAACTCATGTGGAACCTGTCTACTGGCTCTTTTACCTTGCTGATTTCTTTCAAATGGTCCAATGTTGTTGAAATATATATATTTCACTATAGCTTTAGCTGATCATTACCCACATTGGTTTCAGGTTACCCACATGGCTTATTTTCAATATTAAAATCACCAGCATGGAACTTCTCACATTATCCATGTACTGTTCATTCATTAGTCACATCCTTCCCAAACACTTTGTTGATACTTTGAGCTATCTAGGTTATAATGGTTCCACCATGGACCTCATATTTGAAAACAACGTGAATGTTTGACTTATCCAGGGTTTCATAAAAATTACCCTAAAAAAAGTTTTTTGAAAGACAATCACAAGCCAAAACATGCATTTGAAAGAATGAGAATGTACCTTCACAATTAAAAAAAAAAAAAAGTGTTAAAGTGAAATGTTAGAGATATCAACTATCAAACTTAGTATTTAAGGAAATTGAACGTTTTAAACTTAATGATCTCATAGTTGGACTTACCATCTGTCTATTCATCTATCTGTGTGTCTAGCCATCCACTCATCCATTCATTAAGAAGTCATTTCGTCAATATGAAGATGTAAAATTTTTATAAAATCTATTTTAATTTGTTTTTATTTTTTTTTTCCTGAGACAGGGTCTCACTCTGTCACCCTGGTTAGAGTGTTGTGGTGTTGTCATAGCCCACAGCAACCTCAGACCTTTGACTCAAGAGATCCTCTTGCCACAGCCTCCTGAGTAGCTGGGGACTTTGTAGTCACTCCCAAGACCCGCACGTCTCAGTCTTGAGCTTCTCTGTGGTTCTACCGTACCCATAAATTCTCTTCTCATCAGATTTTCCCTCTTATTGCTTAGCCAGTGGCTTTTACTAAGTCATTCATGTTCCTCCATGAATCTTCTAACTTTCTAAAACATATACAAGGTGATTATTCTTTTATTTAAATTGAATTATTTCTTACCAATAGTTTTGGTTTCTGGAGAGAGAGAAAAAGTCATAAGCAATCAGCTGACAATCTTTAATTAGAGCAAGCTCTGCATCAAATTGTTTTCAGAAATAAACATGTGGCAAATGGATTCAAAGCTGAAATCAAATCCCCATTTTATCATTTTTAGTAATAATATGATCTTTAGCAAATCATTTTATCTGTCTATGCCTAACTGTCATCATGTATAAAAAGAACTTAGAAACTACTTTGTAAGGACATGGGAATTATAGAATATATAATTTATCCAAAATAATAGATATTACAGTAAGTTTTGTTATTTTGAAAATAGCATTAAAACATGTTTGAAAAATTATATTCATAATTTCTTTTGTTAAATGATCTTTTTCAAGTATCTTTTTTTATTATTTGTTTAATTAGATCTAATTACGTTAGAGTCCCTGGCAGTAAGCATTTGAGTGTAAATTATCTATCTTAATTAGCAAAATATTACATAAATCTCTGACTAAAGACTACTAATGATTTTATACATTACAACCTTTACTGATAATTTAAGCCAAAGAATAAATATCTTGCTGAAATTTTTATCTTTAATAATATTCACTTTCATATACTCTGCAAATAGACCATCTTATTAGTCAAACAATTTTCAAAGAAAACCCTTTAATTTTTCAAATATCACCAGTAGTTCTGTCATAATAGTTAAAATAATATTTTATTAAAAGTATTTCAAAATTGTATCAATTTAAAATATGAATATAAGCTCAAGACTCTCTTATATGTAGTTTATTTTACCATTATGGCATTTCTTTGAAATTAAATTTTCAAAAAAAATTGAAAAGTATTTAACATCATCATCACTTTTTTAAATTTACATTTTCTAAGCTGTGACTAGTCATTTGTCTTATGTGACAATTAAAAATAGTATTTATGAAGTACATTTATATGGGATACCTTTTTAGAAGTGGATAGTTCGTAAAATAATTTCATCTAAAATATGAAATTGAATAGGTTGCTAACAGTTTATTGATTGTCTTATACATTTTCTCCTAAATTTTCCCTTATTGGAGCTACATTTCACAGTTAAATATTGACATGTTTTAGTAGAGACAACAGTCATTTTCATTCCTACTACTAATATGTAGTATAAATATTGATATTTTACTTCAGACATATGAGAATTAATGTTTGTGTTTTCTAGGTATAGCTTACTTGAGTGGAATGTGTAGTGAAAAGAGAAAATGTATCATTGCTGAAGACAATGGCCTGAATCTTGCATTTACAATTGCTCATGAAATGGGTCACAAGTAAGTAAAAATCCCAGCTATGTTAGATATGTTAGCATATACATTTGGTTTGAATATTTAAATTGCATGAATATATTTTGTTTTTTTCCCTTGGGCTTCAAGTTTTAGAAAAATTAGGGAAACAAAAATGATGAATAAGACCATCTAATTTTAAAAAGTGTCTTCTGAATGTTATAACCATTCCTGATTCCTTGAATAAAATCTTCCATTATTAAAATCATCAAGACAGTTATTATAGAGTGTATAGTTGATTGTACTGTACATTTTTTATTTTTTTATTTTTTGAAACAGAGTCTTACTCTGTTGCCCCAGGCTAGAGTGTTGTGGCTTTGTAGCTCATAGCAACCTCATACTCCTGGGCTCAAGTGATCTCTTGACTCAGCCTCCTGAGTAGCTGGGACTACAGGCACCCACCACAATGCCTAGCTAATTTTTCTATTTTTACTAGAGATGGGGGTTTTGCTCTGACATAGGCTATCCCCCAACTTCTGAACTTGAGCAATCCACCCACCTCAGCCTCCCAGAGTGGTAGAATTATAGATGTTAGCCACCACACCCAGCCTCACCCTACATTTTAAACAATATAATTATTTCAGTAATCATGATGCTACTCACTGTCTATTTTTTAAACATTTACTTGGTGAAATGCTTCCAGGCTATGATAGTGCCTACGTTTGTTATTACCAGGCCCAGAGTAAAGAAGCATGGTTTAGGTGAAATGTACTGGAAAGAGAAATTAGACTCATAATTAACATGTATTGAATATTAACTATGTCACAGGCACAGTTCTAGGAAATTTACATAGATCAGTTCACTTAATACAAAAACCAACGAAGTAGTTACTGTTCTAATTCTCATTTTATCAATTATATTAATAATAGCAATAATAATTAGTAATAGCAAAACTTATATAGCACTTACTGTGTACCAGACACATTTCTAAGTGCTTTCTATAGCCCCACAATAATTCTGTGATTAGCATATCCATTTTTCTGAGTATAAAGAAGTTAATTTATCCTCCCAAAGTTATAAAGATGGTAATCATTGGAACAAGCCATTTGAACTCAACCCATTCAACTCAGGACACACTGTTCCAAATTTCAACATTAAGTTATCAGACATCATTGTGCCTTAGATGCCTCTAAGCAAAATGGGGATAATACCTTTGTTAAGAGATTCATTTGGAATTCAGTGCATAAAACGTATGTATATATTTGTAGGAAGTTTAAAGTAGAAATGGCATGCGTGGAGAAATCAGACTTACTTTTACTGTAGGCTTCCTTCATCCCCAGCTTACCACCAGTACAAATGAAGGCATTTTAATTGGACTCAGATTTAGCAAAGCCCTACTCTGGGAGGAGATCTTTATGGAGGCCTCTTTGGTCAAAGACAAATTTTGTTTGTCGTTCAGTGTTTAAAACGTTGAATTAGTTACTGACATTAAAAAGTCTAAATTTGACATTAAATCTAAATTTGCAGACCTGGCAACACTTGACCCACCGTCCCATATGGCAGCCATTCCCTGGAGCTGAGTAACAGCGCCTTGTACTCTTTAAATCAGACCCATCTTTCCAGCTCATCACAGGCTGCAACTCTCTAGTATGGCACACCCAGCTCACTTCATTTTCCTTATTTCCTTGGACTCTGTAGGCAATTAAGTAAAATTGAGTTAACAGCGGAATTTGATGTCCAACAATTTATGTAGGACATGGCAGTGTTTGATTAAAAAAATCACTCAAGCAAACACAAGCAAAAAAGTCATAATTATATGGCTCAATGAATTATCAAAAACTGAATATTATAGTCCAAGAAATAGAGCATTATCAGCAGTAATTGATTTTTGAATCTTTTTAATTGACCAGAAAATATGTACATTTAACATGTTTTGAAGTGTATATAAATTTTGTAATGGCTGTGTCAAACTCATTGCCACATACCTTCCCTTGCATGCTTGGTATTTTTTGGTGAATACAAAATGTACTGTCATGGCAGTTTTCAAGTGATTGATTTGTGGTGTCACTCTTTTCGGTATGTAGAAATGCAGTGATGCCCTGGAATATGGGGGAAGAGGGGTGGTGATTCCAGGATTCCTGTATATACTCAAATCCATGAATACTCAAGTCCAGCAGCTGCCCTGCAGAACCTGAGAATAGGAAAAGTCGGCCTCTATAGGGAGGTTTCACAATCTGCAGATACTGTAGCACTCAGTTGGTTGAAAAATATCTCAGTATAAGTGGACCTGCGTAGTTTAAACCAATGTTGTTCAAGGGTGTCCTTGTGTGATCTCCAGTATGGACTTTGAATCTTCAGCCAGCTAATTGAGAACATAAGGAGTTAATATGCCACTTTAAAAAATAAAAATACAGGGTGGTGCTGTGGCTCAAAGGAGTAGGATGCCAGCCCCACATGCCGGAGATGGCTGGTTCAAATCCAGCCCCAGCCAAAAGCTGCAAAACAATAATAATAATAAAATAAAGATAAAATAAAAAATACACTTTAAAATCATCATTCTTTCAGGGAAAGTATGCAGTGCAATATAAACTTATTCAATACTGCACTCCAGAAATGATAAGTTTAGATTCTTATTTCCAATATTACTTTAATAACTGAAAGGTATTTTCAGTTCAGTTAAAATATGAAAAACCATGGGCATCACTGCAGGGAAAATGCTGAGAATAATGGCTAGAGGCAAGAAAAAGTTACTAATAAGTAATTTGAGGAAAGTAAATGCAAATTAATCACAAATCCAGTTCTTATAAAGGAAAAAAATTTCTGAGTAATTACAATTTTTACTCATAGGTGTACATGAACAGCTTGATTGAGAAGCAGTCTGAGTCTGTTTTCATAAGGAGACATTAAATAATTTTGTTAAGTACCTTGAATAGCAGGTTTATGTTCAAAAACAGATATACCAAATCCATTTCATTAATTTCTGTTGTATTGTAAGATGTAGGAGAAACAAGAAAGGAAAAGGGCGCAAAACAAATTAATTTATTGAAGACTAAAGTCTTGATCGAGAATCAACGACTGTTTAAACGAAAAATTCAGTGTGATAATTTAAGGAAAGTCCACTTACACTTTATGTAGCAGAAACACTGGTTTATGACTAGGAACTCAGGTTGGAATGGCTAAAATGGTACTAAAATATTATTTTATTTGACTTTTATAGAGCTGCACCCAAAATCAATATAGATGTGCCAAAGGTATGTGTCATGCTTGGTGGATTAGGACCAGGACACGTGATATATGTTGAACTACTCAGTTACAAAAAATCCCCCTTAGCAGTAAGCAGGATTTGTCCCCAAAGTGGAAGCTGGTGTTTTCTTGTTGTCAGTCCATGAAAGACAATAGGCAGCATACAGTCACTGTATTAAAAAACAAAACAGGAGGATATTTATGTAAATTACATCATCATCATCATCCAGGGTGGGCACAATATAAGAAGAAATGACGAAAAAGAGAATATTTAAAAAATGTCTGAATACTCACAGCTTCTCAGATAGGGAAAGTCATTATGGTATTAGATAATCGTGTCTATAGTTCTGGGTGTGTGCAACTTGTCTTTTTTTATTTCTTTTTTATGAGACAGAGTTTCACTTTGTCGCCCTCTGTAGAGTACTATGATGTCATAGCTCACAGCAATTTCAAACTCATGGGGTTCAAAGCGATTGTCTTGCCTCAGCCTCTCAAGTAGCTGGGACTACAGGTGCTAGTCACAATGCCCAGCTATTTTTAGAAATGAGGTCTCGCTCTGGCTCAGGCTGGTCTCAAACTTGTGAGCTCAGGCAATCTACCTGCCTCGGCCTCCCAAGTGCTGGGGTTACAGGCATGAGTCACTACGCCCAGCCAACCTCACGAAGTCTTGAGCGAAGTATTTTTATCATTTTACAGATGAGGAAATTGAAATGATCAGAGACCTATTTTCAAGGAGTTCTTTTGATATTAACGACTTTTTTTTTTTTTTTGAAACAGAGTCTCACTATGTCACCCTCATCAGTGCTGTGGCATCACAGTTCACAGCAACCTCAACCTCTTGGGCTTAAGCGACTCTGTTAAGTTGCTGGGACTACAGGCACCCACCACAACACCTGGCTATTTTTTGGTTGCAGTTGTCATTATTGTTTGGCTGGTCTGGGCTGGGTTTGAACCTGCCGTCCTTGGTGTATGTGGCTGGCACCATAACCAGTATGCTATAGGCGCCAAGCAGAAGGACATTTTCTTTTGATGATATACCGTAAAGATTTTCCTAGTGCTAATAGTTAATCTTGATTTTCATTGTTTGTGGCCTGTAGAATTTTTTTAGGAGTCAGATTTCATACTTTATTATTTATTCTGTAGGTTTTCACATTTACAAGTGCATTCTTACCCTAAAATTAGGGAAACGTACTTTTGCATAGTTGTGTTATATTTTTACTCCTGTATTCACTACTTAGCCCTGTAACCCATCTAGAATTTACATTAGCATATGTATAAAGTTCTCTTCATTAAATTTGTTTCTCATTAACCCCTACGTCAATGCTCTTATTAATCAAGTGTGGTCTGTAAGGAGATAAGAAGATATGCCAGAATATAGCACATAGATTCTTTCATTGAAAAAGTATTGAAGTGAAGAAAGAAAGTCAGCTTAACTGAAATGCGTGCTTAGTGATGTCGCTGATTTATGTTCTAGCCCCAGCAACTTAGCTGGATACAAATCAGTAATAAAAACAATTCACCAAATGGCAGCCAGTGCACAGGCCACACTCCGAATAGCTTGGCCATATGGCAGATATAGCAGATCCTGCTCATTCTAAATCAACATTGCACTAGGAAGCTGAATCTGAGTTGTGACAAACCCGTCTTTATGATTTTGAGCTTGAAAACTCTCCTGTACTTACTTGCCTTTGCCCTTATTTGTGAAGTGCTTTTAGACATAATTGTGTGCTGCAATTCATTGCAAATAATAAAAGTTGTCCCTTTGTATAAGTACTTAGTGGTGTTTTAGATTATTTTGTTACATA